CAAGCAGAACTGATGCAGGGCCCGCCGTCCGGCTCGCTCCGCCTTGCCAGGCTCCGGCTGACAGGGGGACGTCGCAGCTTCGCGCCCTGAGACCGGGCGCGCCGACAGTGAAATATACCACCATTTTGGATCCGAGAAAGGCAACGGAGGGCGTAGCAGAGGCTTTGTGAAGCGAGCTCAAAGCGAGGAGGGCTGCTGTGTTTTTCGCTCGGGTTCGGTGCTCCGTGTTCCTTTTGTGGCTCTTCTCCGTTCTGCATGAAAAATAGCCCCCGAGTAGTGACGGCGAATCGGAACGATCGGATTCGATCGCGGCCACTGTTTTTGCTGGTGCGAGCCCTCCCGCTTGGACCTAACGCCTTCACACAGACGGAGAGCGAAGGCTGCCTGCGATAGATACAGGGAGTGAAGTATTAAGGCTGCCAAGCATCCTAATTAAGCACGCTAAACAAGTTGACGTTTGACTGTCACAGATTACATCCCCTCGCCCTTACCTTTCACAAGACGTCATTCCAGACCCTGAACATTGTGCAGTCATAACGCTGCAGTAAACCAGGCGCCTCGGAATTGCTCTTTCTGTGTGACATAGATAATCGATTGATTTTGAAAGCAAACTTTAAATAAGGGTTGAGCTCAGAGAAAAAGCAGGTCTTGAACAACGAGTCGGTTCTTTCAGCTCTTTTGTCCTATTATGATTGACATTTTCAGTAATTACGTATCTGAGCTGTATGTCATTTCGTCTCAAACAACTGACCGATTTAAGGATTAGCGCCTTTCCTTTCTGGTTGAAAGCCACCAGCTGAAAAGAGCCCTGCGCTGCCGCACCCCCATCTTCTTCGTCTCTGCACATATCCACCGAAAAAAAGACAACGCGTTTATTCTAAAGCGGTTTAATGAGCTGTCACGGCGGGCGAAGCACGGGCAGGTTACCCCCGGCGTCTGGAGTTGCGTGCTACACCTTCCACTCCTGCCTCGGCAACCGCTGTCGCTGCTGGGAGCGATCCTGCCAAAC